CACTATGTGCAAATAACACTGTTTGATCATTTGAGTTAGATGCCATTTTTTTTACTCCACCACTTACAATAAAAAGTGTAATATATAGAGGTAATTAAAGAATGCAAAATACCTAAAGGTAACAGGACCTTTCATGAAAAAAATAAAGCACATTCATAAAATGATGAGAAGTATAATAGTGCCCTTTTCTAAAATCCGGTGTTGTGCAAAAACAGGAAAAACAATGTTTCTAGATGTTTATAAGATAACATTCAGCTGCGTGTGCACTGACTGAGTGAAAGCTTGGCATGTCTATTAATATATTACGGTAGCATCAAAAGCAAAACCAAACAAAAACACAGTTCATCAGATCATATTAGACCCTGCTACAGCAACGGGCAACTACTGCTACCATAGCAACACGAGAGGCAAGGGTGACTTTGTGGTGCATCAGTGTAACTCAAGTCTGGAAAAAACGGATTTTACCTCATATGAAAACACACAAAGGCTCTGTGGTTTGTCTGAGAAAGGAAGGACCCCCCTTTGGCCTCTGTTTAGTCATCCTACCCCTTGTCCTCTTTTCTTCTGTCTCCCACCACTCAACACACACACACACTATGTCTACTCACAGAGCCTTTATTGTCCTCTTTCACACTGTAACCCACTGAGCAGAGTGGCATCAGAAAGAACTCACACAGCAGGGATGCCAACAGTCGTCCATCTCTCAGCCTAAGATTACAGGGACAGTAAACACCAACCAAGCTAAAAGTACCCTAGCATCATAATAACACTAAGAAGGATGTAGACCCACCCTGAGTAATCAAAGGCGTGTAAAGATGAGTGCTGGAAGCGAAACACGCACACATGTTTTTCTTTATCAGTTTCACACCATGTGTATTTTGAGTCCAGGGTGACGTTTGGTTTACTTTACCTGTGGGAAGAGCCAGGAGCCAGAGGTAGGTCAGCGGTAGGAGGAAGAGGTGAGGTAAGCACCAGGTGAGCAGCTTGTGGTGTGCATAGGACATTTTGTACAAGGACCTGGGAAGCAGACAGAGGAAGAATTAAATGCAGCTCAGTCAGTGCATACGCTAACATGGTTGACTCCCACAAAACACTGAATTTTGGTCAAATGTCTATGGTTTACGTTGAAAGAGTAAACTGGATTTGTCAGACAGTGTGGGATAAATAAAACCACTCTTTTATTTTAAAAAGGTAGATTATAGCCTTTTCAGTGTATCCATCAGTGTATACCCCAACTTTTTTACTTCCCAAATCCAATGCTGACACTGTTGCTATTTTAAATGACTTTATCACCTTATCACATTGATTTTGTTCTTGTTCTTTGTGATATTGCAAAGGTGAAATACTTGTTTGTGGTATAATCCTGCACATTTGTCTAAAGTTCTGTGGCCTAAATACTGAACTGCAAACAGTTGTTACTATGCATCTGTTTTATTTGACAAGAGAATTAATCATTGTATAATTATCAATTAAGTGCAACTCACTGTTTGGCTTCTTCTAAGCAGAGGTCATTTGGATGACCTCTGCATCAGCTATTTAATGGATTCAGACTGCCCTCTGCACCACTAACTGCACATGCGGCTGAATGCTTACTCCAACATCTGTTTCAGCTCTGCTGACAATACACCTACAAAGATTTTGATTCACTGGACTCCACATTTTTGGTGTTTTCTATTTAATTTGCTACTGTAGCACAGTAATTTTCCAAGTTTCTTGTTTCTTATCTTTAGACAAGAGCTGATGTCTGACTCACTATGTTTACCCAAATCAATACAGAACCAGAATCACAGATATAGTCAACTATTATCTGAGAAGAAAACCAAACAAAACAGCAAACAAACAAAAAAAGTATAGCTACAAAAAAAAACAAAAAAACAAAAGAAACCAAAAACTGTCAGATTTACCTTTCCCCTAATCCAGCAGTGGAAGAAAGGTGAAGGAAGAAAGGAGTGAGGAGTTAGGTTGGCAGGAAGGTGCTGTGAGGTGACAGGTGAAGACGGGCCAACACCAGCACTCTGACGAAGAGATCCAACATGGCCGCCTCAGGGGCCTTCACAGGCTCAGCTGCTCCAACACTAGGCTAGAGAGAGAAATGAATTCAGCTGTTGATCATTCAATATCATTCACATCACATGGATGTGGACATACACGATTATATATTCTGAAATTTCATCTGTATTCTAAATTATTCAGGTCTTGTGCCTTCTCTTCTTTGATTGCTTATGTCCAACGCTGCCTCAGCTTTTTAGAGGCGAAGAATTTTAAGTCTGTAATTTCTAAATCTGATAAGAAAAGCTAATGAAAATGAGACTCTTTACCGGGAGATACTGTGCTGAGAAACTAAAGAAAAGGCACCTTCACTGAAACTGTAGGGACCTTTCATTGTTTTTGGCCTTTTCTGCAAAAGAGAACAAACAAGCCACAAATTCTATAACCATAAATACACAGCAGATTTCACTTACTAGGAATTTTCTGTCTGCCTCTATAATCTGTCATCGGTTTGAGGGTGTAACTAACACAGCAATTCTGTCAATATCCTGTTGACAGCAACACCTAAGGAGGTGTAAAATGATTCACACAGTTTTGGGCTATGTCCTGGTAACTATGCAGAACTGAAACAGGAAAATTAATCACAAGCAAATTTCTGAAGTTATACAACAGTTCGTTACTCCTTCTGTATGCCTAAAGGCACACTTGATAACATTATGAGTTATGCAAATCTTTAGCCTATGTGAACATGAAAGTAGACACTGGTTAATATCTGGCAATAACTAGAGAATTTCTTCATGCCAAAAGGGGGGAAAAGTTTAGTACATGACTAGAGTCTTCACTGGCCCTCTCACTGTTCATTTGTTTTTCAGCTCAGGCCAAGAAAAGGTTGCTCAATTCCAGGGAGGCTACAGAGGCCTGAATCTTGCTGAACTATACAGATTCTTATTTATACTTTTTGAAGAAAAAACTCAAAGAATCCAGTTTGTTAACCAAAGAGGATTGTAAGTGATAAAAGGTTTTGTTATTGGGAACAACAGACACTTTTTGTTTTCTGTCCTTTCTTCATTTAGGACCCGTCTAAACGAACAACTTGCAGAAATCACATTGACCTTTTCTGAGAGACAATTTCATCAGTACAATATATTAAAAGGTATTAACACCAGATATATAAAAACAATGTATCGTATGGTAATCTATGATTGGGACACAGAAACACGTAAGGGCTAAAACAATTCTTTAAAGAGAGACAAATTGCTGTTGCATCATCTCGTACTGTGACGTCATGTAGCGCTCCCAAAGCCTGGCTAAATTCTGCCAGTCTAGTGGAAGTTGTAATATTTAAAAATCCTTCAGGTTCTGACTAAACTGGTACTAAGCACATTATTTATTTATTTCCAATAATGATGTAAGATTCTGGATTCTTCTTCCACACAAAATGATCCCTGAGTGCCACCTACTCCATTCAGACAATTTCTCAGATGAAGATAGTGATAAAAGGGGGATTAAACTCTATAAAGAACATTAAAGATTAAGCAACAAAGTTGCATTGACGGCAATAGCTTAATGCTGCAGAAAATCACTAATATTTGAGTAGTAAACTCAACATTTTAATTCAAGTTAATTATTTGATCACGGAGTGCTCTCTCTGCTTTGCTTTAAACTGGTTGGAGATAAACATTAAGTGTTCCTGTCCCACAGCATAAGGAAGGAGATGTGGAAATTGCTTTGTTTTGTTGGTGGAGCAAAGAAATTCATTGAACATTAATTCAAATTAATGTTACTGACTGGATAGGTATTCTTGGTGTGTGTGCTGTTGTTCTAGTAACTGCGGTTACAGAAGTGTAACAGAGACTTAACGGCAGATTAGAATCGAGAATGAAAATATTTAATACATGCACCTTCCTGTGACAATATGAGTTTGATTCAGTGGTGTTAGTAAGGTACATCTTAAAATGGTGCACATATAAAACACATTCGCCCCAGCAGAGAATCTGTACTGCTTTTACAACATGCTGCAAATAAAAGCATAAATGTGGCACTTCAACCTGATTCTAAAGTGAAAGTCAAAGCATAACCTGCTTCTGACTAGGTCATGTGTTCAGCATAAGTTACCATGGTGATTTAACCAGTTAAAAGGAGAGAGACAACTCTGACTTTAAACTTGACGGAGCTTGCTAACCCAAAAATCTTGCTTCATAGTACGCCCTTCTGTTGTAAAAAGAACAAAACCATGACCCAAAATTCAGGCTACAAATACCACTTAGTCACAGGCCTTCGGGACCCCGAGTAACTTCCTCATCTTTAATATCCAGTTGTGCAGGAAGTGTGAGGAGGAAGCCTTTAGTTTCATGTTTACCTCCAGAATAATGACTAAATGAGTCACCAAAAAAGAGGCAAGACTCAGATTACTGTGCTGCTTGAAGGGAAGGTGTAATCCTCATGTTGTTCAGCTTCTGTGGTTTTCGTCTGATGCAAAGATAAAAATCTGAGAATGCGCAATATTTAACCGCTGTGTTAGTACACATGGTTCCCTTTAGGTTATTGCAGCAGAAATCGTAAAAGTAGGGTTAAGCATGAGTGGTAGCACAGTGAAACACTAAACAGTTATCTTCAGATATGTTGGGAACATAGTGTCAATAGACTAGTGTCAATAGTCTTGACACTATTGTGTCTATTGCTAGTGTCAAGACAGTGTGACAACTTTAAAACTAATTTCCTTAACATTTCTACAAGGAAACCACAGCATTATCACCACTGTGATATCCTGAGTAGGTACAAAATGTTCAGTTACGAAAGCCTAATCTTGTACTCTGATGTTCTTGTCTGCAAAATATATAAAAATGAATGCACCTCAACCACTGCAAAGACCTCTGTGTGCGTATCAGATGATTACAGATGAGCAGAGCTTCAAGGGAAACGTGGACATGAAGTTCCTAAAAGACGTTCTGCTATTGAATATTGGTTTTCATTTAAGAAATCAATGGGAAACGCTCCCTTACAGTTTGGTGCAGATTTTTATGTTTTCTCGTGATCCAAAAAAAGCTTGTAGGTAACCGGTGATGCTAAGATTTCCTTATAATACCCTCATTTTATGATAAATGGTAAATGGCCTGTATTTGTATAGCGCTTTTCTAGTCCCTAAGGACCCCAAAGCGCTTTACACAACCTGTCATCCACCCATTCACACACACATTCACACACAGGTGATGGCAAGCTACAATGTAGCCACAGCCACCCTGGGGCGCACTGACAGAGGCGAGGCTGCCGGACACTGGCGCCACCGGGCCCTCTGACCACCACCAGTAGGCAACGGGTGAAGTGTCTTGCCCAAGGACACAACGACCGAGACTGTCCAAGCCAGGGCTCGAACCGGCAACCTTCCGATTACAAGGCGAACTCCCAACTCTTGAGCCACGATCGCTCCATGATAGGTTTATATACACTGATGGAACATCCTGAATATTGAATGAGGGGGGTGTATATAGGAAGGTTTTACAGTGTGTATGTGTTTGTGTGTGGGAGTGGGAGTGGGCTGGAGGTACGTATGTATATACATTTTTAAGTTGTATCTGGTGTCCCACAGGAAGAAGGTTAGAAGTTTAAACCTCCTGGCCGGTCCTGAGCATTCTTTAGTTTAATTCAACGTTCTAGGTGACAGGCTGTACCACGTCTCTTGCCTTGTGACGGCTCGGCTAGGTTCATCCTCACTGTTAAGTTGGATAAGTCTGTCCATGTATACAAACATCCACCTACTTCCTTCTGCTGAATAAGCAGCAGGAAACGGCTGGCAAAAGTCTAAGCAGAGATACCTAGATAACAGTTTGCATGCCAGCCGAGATATAATCACTCCAGTGTGTCCTGGGTGTGCCCTAAGGTCCCTTCCAAGTTGGACTCGAGCCCACCTCAACTGCTGGATTAGTTAATATTGTGTTTGCCATCCTCTGGGGACTGTATATGGAAATTAGGTATGAAGCATGTTTTGTTTTGTGAGGTCAGTGTTTTTGTGCATGGTCCCTGTCAAATAAATACCAAAGCTCCTGAAACACAATGTTTAAGGCACGGCCAGGCCTCTTCTCAACATGGCCTCACCAGGAAACTACTGTGGGGCAATATAGTAATAAATCAAGCTTTCATATCTATCTGTTATGATCACACTCTAAAGAGGTTAGCTAGATGCTGTATCCATATGGCTGGAAGCACATCCCTAATCTTCCACATTAGTAATTACCCTGTGCCATCGGTGCCAGCCTCTGCAGAGTTACTACTTTGTTGGTTTAAAAAAAAAAAATTGAATAAACAGAAAATATAGTTCGAGAGAAAGAAGTAATGTTTGCGTAAGGCACTGTTACAAATGTCCTGATGCTTTTACTAAACTGATAATGATCTTATTTAAACAAAGGCAAGCATTAAAAGTTTAAGCAGCACTGTTTTCTTGAGACAAACCTACAACTATGTTACTTACTGCATTTTTTAAAAGGAAAACGTGGTGGTATCAAACCTGGATTGCTGGTCTGATTCCTTATTCAAATCTGCATTCCTGCACGTGACACTGGAGCACCGAGCAGTCTCTTTCTCTGCTGTAGTCACCGGCTCAGTCTGTCCAAATATCCAAACTGCTCCGTATCCCGCTTTTGCTTATTTTTCTCTCCCTAGTGAACGCCCAAAAGGGGAAAAAGCTCCAGGTGAAAATGATCCAGTGCAGAAAACGTGCAGGAATCAGTTAGGATCCGGCAGCCTGGATTTTTTTTAAACCATGCAGCAGCTGCCCCGAGGCACGTGGTGACTTTCACTGTGCTGCAGCAGTAACGCTCAGGTGCACACGGTCACCTGGGCTGATGACAGCTTGGCCATTACTGACTTTTTAATGGCCAGTTCACCCATGAGGGGTTTGTTGCAGAACAATGATCTCTGTCACCGAAACCCTCGCCCACCTTCTCTCTCTTTCCTCCTCTTACATCTGGCAAATTTTCTCCCTTTGACTTGTTTCTTCCTCCTCCTCTCTCAGCAGGAGCAGTCAGCTCTGCATCGGTTTCTCCGCAGACAGGCTGATGTAGCTTTTCTCTGTCCCACGCACAGCTTCCTCTGGCTGCCACAGGGAAGGAAAATCAAGTTTTTATGTCTCTTTCAGGCAGCATACCCAGGAAAAGATTTAATAAAATGAATAATCATGACAAACTGCTTATTTTGTTGTGACAACTCGACAAATATCCTTAGAGCAATAACTACACTAATCCTAAAATAAGATTACAAATCAAAGACCCAACAGAAAGTACGAGTACATCACATTAGTCTTTAACTCACTTTAAACTTTACTGTTTGCCTAGATCTTGGCTTTAGGGTTTTCTCACTTATTGCATATACAGCGCCTTCCATAATGTTTGCTACAAAGACAGTTTGTAGTTCTGCCCCAATCACAGTGGATTGCAAATCAATCAATATGTGACTGAAGTGCTGACGTTCAGCTTTAATACAAGGAGCTTTATAAAAATTTTACATGCACTTTTTAAGAATTACAGCGATTGCTATACACAGTCCCCCAAATTCTGAGATTCAAAATTAATGAACATAAATTTAAACACTCTTTTTAATACCTTTATGAAAAGAAAAACTTCGCCTGAGGTCTAAACCCGTGGGCATCACCAAATGTTGAGTTTCCTTGCTTGAGTTACTCCATCAGATCTCTATTATAGCCACCTTCACTTGCTGCTTGTTTGTGTTTGACAATGGAAAAAGCGCACTCTGTTGGGTTTAGATCAAGTGACCGATTGGGCCATTGATGAATATCCCATTTCTTTTCCTTGGGAAACTCTTGGGTTGCTTTTTCAGTTTGCTTTAAATCATTTTCAGTTTGCACTGTGCAGTACTGTCTGATCAGGTCTGCAGCATTTTTGCTGTGTCTGAGCAGAGAGTAAAGTCCTGTAGACTTCAAAATTCATCCTGCTACTTCGATCAGCAGTCACATCTTCAGGGAACACTGGTGACTTTGTTCCACAGCCATACACACCAATGCCACAACACTGCCTCTATCATGTTAGACAGATAATGTATGCTTTGGATCATATTCCATAATTTTCTCTTCACATCATTCTAGTTCAAGTTAATCTTGGGTAACAAACATGTGCCATTTGCAAGCACTCATATGATTTCTGTGAAATTATCATGTATTTTAAACGGAGCAACTGAAACTGGATTCACTTCTAAACTACATCTGGGTCTGGGTCTCAAGTTACATAGCAGAAATTTTGACCCCCGTTTGAGCTCTTGGTTGCTCCTTAGATTTGAATCTAATGGTTTTGCCATCAAGGCTTCGGAGTGACCAGCCTGAGGAGAGAATGCTTGCTAATCTCCTTAAAAAGTCCTTTTCATACTTTTAAATTGGCCTTTTATGTCTTCTCATCAGTGACATCTTTTTACTGTCCGTTTATCTGCTTTCAGTTATTTTGTTTATGGTCTATTTTGCCTGTTCTAGGTTTTTTATTGACATGTGTACACATTTTAATCATATGATAACAACAACAACAACAACAACTAAAAGTCATTCTTAGTAATTTCATAACACCAAGTATTTGCCTCACTGAATAAAAGACGTTCAGTAACTGCCAGCTTCATATCAGAGATGAAACGTAGAGGGACTAAATAAAGAACATTACTTCAGCCTCTGCTGGCCTATTTTATTTTGTCAACTAAATAACTGATAAAACAAACAAAATAACCCTGATTTGCTGACTAAGCTCCACTCTTGTCTCTTCTTATCCCCGTGCAGCGCGTAATGGACTGCTTAAAGCGCAAATTGGTGCATGTTTGACTATATGAATGAAAGTCTGTCAAGTCAAATGAGACGCGTGAGTAAGCGCACTGAAAAAAACAAAAACAAAAAAAACAAAAAACCCCTCGCACTACTAAGACAAAATGGTGGGCTCGTGCATTATGTATCTTGCGAAACTGACAAATCACTCAGATTTACTCAAGACAGGACAAGACGTGTTCAGCTGTCAGATAATTCAATACAGGCCGGTATCTGCCCACAGCACAGTCTGCTGCACTGTCATAATATTATAAACAACTGTGTGGGGGGTTGATGTATTAACCCAAGTGCCACTTGCGCGCATTTAGCAGATGTTATGTTTTTACAAGGCATGTCGACGTCCAAGCACTGACACGGGAAGGTTGAAGTAGCGCACCGTAAGGTATTTCACCTGTTTAATCCCGGGATCACTCGCATCCAAGGCACCTTGAGGCTAACAGCTGCTGACATCTCTCACCGGACCCTACACAATGCGTTTTAACGGCAACTGCCCCCAGTAACACAAGAGAGAGAATGTGTGCACGGACTTACACAAACAAAAAATGGTAGACTTTCTCTTCAGCTGCTCGTTCCGATGTGTAGCCTTGTCTCTTGTTGTCCCCTGCTCTCCAAATTAGGTCAGTACTCCTCTCGCTGATACAGCTGATATGCCGTGAGTGAGTGCTTGACTGTCAATGCAATACGTTTTACGAAAGGTTCCGGTGATGAGATTTTCAAAAACAAAGTAGGCAGTGAAAACAGCAGTTATGCGATGGTTAGCTAGAGCAGTTACGTGTTACATCTGAAAGTGAAACCAAAATTCCTAACTAAATAGCTATATAGTTTTAATAACCTGGATATGAGCCCATTTTATTTCTTGCGATACAGATTATTCTTAATTTTTCTTTTTTAACCAGTTGGCATTTCTTTATCATTTTCTATTTTTTAATCTATTTATTTATCTACACGTGGATTTTTGGTACATAATGAAAACACAATACAAATTAAATTCATTTGTTGTCTTACGCTGAAAACGTTCAACGTTCATCCAGCTAGTTCCGGTTTACGCCCCCTAACGAGGAGCCGTTTAAAAAGGTAAATGCTCAACTCAACGAGTGCTAATAAACTTTTTCTCTTTTATATTAAAAAAATAATAACATTTTTAAAAAATAAAATTAAAACGATAAATCTGGATAACCTCGTTTATCTGACGTTATGACACGGGCTAAAATGGCGGTGTCGCCTTACAACAATCCGCCTGATGATTGGTTGCCTGATTTTCTTCGAGTCTTTTTATTGGTTCGTGACATCTTTAGCTTGACAGTGTGTTTCCGGGGGGAGTGAGCACGAGCAGTTGCGGCGTGCAAGAGGGTTGTCAACAAAGTAAGTTCCATTGTTAACGTTCACCTGTTCAAATGTTAAATTGATATACATGTACATTTTTGTCAGCCGTTAGCGGGACAGCTGACAGCCAGTAAATTGGACTACTCCCGTTGGCCCAGCGATGTGGCGCTGTTTCTTGCAATCAGTGCTCGAAAGACTGATTGGAAATTCATTGAAAAAGTTTTTCTCCTCTTTACATCTCTCTCGGTCGCATAGTTACCGGGGTCATAATGGCTGACAGTGCTGACTTTACACCCACCGTGAACAGCCAGTCTCCTGCTAAAGAGGAGCAGGGAGGAGGTGAAGGTGGAGGAGGCTCAGAAGGGGATGTAAAAGGCGGATTGACTGATGCCCAAAGAGGCGTCTTGGAGAAGTGTGTGCATGCGCTGAAGCACGCTAAAAACGACAGTCAAACGTTGGCTGCTCTTCTTCTGGTAAGTATTCGTTTAATTTAAGAATCGAGATAAAAACATAAATATTGTTAAATGAGTTGATATAAAACTGTT